ATATAGTCAGTAGTTCCAGTCGAGTCAGTAGTTGAAGTCGAGTCAAGAGTCGAGTCAGAGGCAGTCCGAAACAGAGTCGCGTTCAGACAATTACTGCAAGACATTGGAATAGTGATACTGGTCGAGACTACATTGTTCTCTCTACTAAACCTGATTGTTCATACTAACACTGCTACTTCTCTGTATATATTCCTGTTTGTAATATATCTGTGTTACTCTATACCTGTGTTCGAGTTCTTGTTTATTGGTTCTACCTGGGACTATCATCGTGGTACAAGGAACCGGACCATAACACTAAACGTCTTATCTGAAAACCAGGAAAAATGAAACTCAATTAATTTGGTGTTTTTTTGGATATTAAACATTTTGTGAGATGGAAAATACAGTTTTATTTTATAATATATTTATGGGGTAAAAGTGCTAAATATTTGGGATAAAAAGGCTGTAAATATACGCAGTGTGGACACAGAAATCAAGACCTATAAGCGACAGTCTGTTCCAAGGTCGATCTCTAGTTGGTTTAAAATGTAATTAAGAAATTCACTACATATTATAGACTCATTGATTTGTAGATGATCATTGCTTTCCCAAAACCTCGCTGTTGATCTAAGTGACCTGTCTTACGGTTCCTGTTTGATCAACGAAGTTAAGCAACGTTGAACCTAGTCAGTACCTCTATGACTGACCCCTGTGGAATACCAGGTGCTGTAAGCTTGGAGGTACAGGTAGTGTAATGGATAAAGACACGGAATGAGAAATTGGAGAGCCCAGTTCGATTTCCAGTCGCGTTTGTTATATTCACTTATGTCCTTGGCAAAGGTATGAATCCACCTCTTGTTCTCTAGCTATGGGTTAAATAGTAAGACTTGTATCAGAAAATCATTAGTATCTACAAAAGATTCTTACATTCCAATAATACCTCAAAAGTTGATGAACCGTTAAAAAAAACACATCAATATAAGTAACTTTTGACCCCTCAACATCCTTCTTTGCCCTTGTTCATGCCCCTGTGCCATCCATACAGCCAATAAAGCCACTAAGACACAAGTTGTTACTGAGTGCTAGAGAGTATGAGAAAAAGGAAAGAAAAATATTATAAAGGAGAGAGAAGAATAAAAGAAGAAGAATTAAGAAGAGCGAAGATGACGACTGACATTGCATTTGAATTTTTGAAGATGAAAGATGATTGGGAAGCAAGAAGCCGGAAGAGATTTCCACAAGCAAGAAGAAACTGCTAACATAGAACTTACGGTTACATCTAGTCATTTCAACTCTAAAATGATGAAGCCTTGCTGAAAATCAAGTCTTCTTTTATGTGCGGTACTTTTTCAAGACGTATGCGATCATGGTCCTCCACATGTTCCTATCTTTTGTAGAACTTAATAATTTTTGTCTTTTTGTTATTTCTCCTAAACCCCCTTCTACCATCCAATAGCTTAAGCTCATCCAGTATGTGACGCACTGATTTCCTCTTTCGTTCAATCTGTCCTGTGAGTATCAAGTTTTCCAAGCTCTCTTTCCTCATTACGGGTTCCATAATTTTCAACTGCCTCTTCCTGATGTTAGGTATAAGTTTCTTTTCTGTTTCCATATTTACCCAAAAACTCGTTGTTGCACGCATATTCGGTCACAGGAAATCCTCAGCATCTTTCTGTAGAGCCACCTTTCTGTTGTTTCAAGTTTCTTTTTATTTTTGAAGAGATTGCCCAGGATTCACCGCCATATAGGTAGACAGATATAACGTAAGAGTTAAGTACCCTTTTCTTTATTTCTAACGCCATTTTTATTCGTAATGTCTAAGTGCCATAGAGGAAAATTCGTCAGAACAATTACCTCAGGGAAAATACATTACGGCGGTGGGATTTGACTAAAGGCGACATGCCAGGTCAGGACCGATAATATTGCAAATTCTTCTTAAGGTCTTAGCAAGAATCTCTAAATGAATAGTAAAAGCAACAGACCATGTGTGGCAACAATATTCAAAGTATGGTCAAATGGTAGACTTATAAATATGTAAAATATATTGTGGCGTAAAAATTAGTCTAGAACGGCACAGTGAACCAACTTTCCTATCAGATGATCTAGCAATTGAATCTGATTCAATATAATCTTTCCCCTTCATGTCAGCGAAGAATTTTCGCCCTAGAACGCGCAACGAGTCACTCTCCTGGAGGTTTGCATCAGCTATGATATGAAGCGCTGAATGTGTTGTCACAGATGATAATATTTAACAGCCCCCACCACCCCACGAGGTGTATATGTCACAAGGTCGAGTTTAGCGTGGATTCTCCGAGTCCGTAAGCGCGGCCAAAAATATTCCTTTAGAACCCGCATAAACGGGTTCATGGTCTGTCTACCTTCCCGGACGAAACTTTGACCTTCGGCAAAGCATCGTCCGGGTTCCTCTCTGCTCAAGGCAGATAGTTGGACAGTATGAACAGTCTGGTCGACAGATCCCGATGTCACAGATAATGACTGCAGCTTAATTTTGATGAAATTTATAAACATAAACTAAAATGGAAATTATTTATAACTCAAATGAATACTTTAAATAAATAACCCATGTCACAGTTGATACTGTAATTATTTTTTTTTTAACTTTTCTCCTCGCAGGACGCACAAGCCTATGAAAACTACAAGCAGTACCATAGCCCGAATTTGGCAGAAATGTTGAACGATTTCCCGTCTTTGAAGATCCCGCCAACGTTATTGCTGACACAACTTCCGCTTTTGCAACAACGCTTCTATAGCGTCAGTTCTTCACCGAAATTCCACCCAGGAGAGGTCCACCTGACAATTGCCATTGCGAAATATATTAAACCAAGTAAGTTCGATAAATAAATCGCGAATTCCCAGCAGAAATAGTGATGGAGGCTTCATTTAATTACTTATTAGCAAGGGGGGATATTGAATCTTTAAAAAGAATACTTAGTCTTTTTTAAAAGAATATCTATAGTTTTAAAATAATATATAGTCTTGTTCAAAAATATATTTAAAAAAGTATATAATAGATAAGACAGAAAAAAACGTTTTAGTGACGTATTTCGTTTCAAACGGGGACTTCTTCAGAATAATAAAGGTTTTATTGATGGAATCAGGCTTCTATATACACTCCTTCTGAAGTTATTATGCAAATCACATAAATCTTAGCTCAAATTTGCTTTGAACAATTTTTGACAAATTTTTGATGATTAATTTTGTTATGATGTTGATTTGGGGTTAATAAAGACAAACGCCAAATAACACGTAACAATAAAAGGGGTTTATTCGGTTGGTAAGTAGGTACAGAAATCGCCTGAGTAGTCTATAACTAACTCAGCCAAGAACTTCTCCGACTCTGTCTGTCTTTTGACATGCCACTATTTAACGTCTTTGTTTGTAGACAAGTTCATCTTCAAGAGGGGTGGTAGGTTTCCTACACAACAAATTTAGACGTGGAAACAAAACTTGCATTGAATATTTAGGTCGTTTAAAAACGTTTTATTAAAGTTATACGTTTTATTATAAAACTGCAGTCTGAAGGTATTATGCAGTTCAAACGAGTTTTCGTTTAAGGCCTCTAAAGTTTAATAATTTTCTTGTTTTTATACATAAGTTGGAAGATGGGGGGAAAAGAGAATAAAGGAGGTTTAGACTTTCCATCAAAACGTTAAAGTCAAAGGGACGCCCAGGTTCAAATTAAAAATTCTGTATCTAGTTGGTTAATCTTATTCAGCTTTCTATCACGTTTTTTATATATTTATCGCTATTCTTTTAAAATGTTATTAGTAGTTTTGTTACTAAAGGAGAAATGACGTATGATAGCTTACAACTACTTACAAATAATAATCAATATTCTTTAAATAATATTTGATGTTTTAAAAATGCTTTTTTAGCGACATATCAACTCCTTATGGGTCATTTAATATCAGATGTAAGTTTTGGGAGAGAATTAGTAGTTTCTTTTACAAAAATCAATTGCTGGTAATACATGTATATATATATTTTTTTTACATAAATGTATTGCCGGTAATTTTTTTACTGTTTTACTGTGTCTGACATTTTTACTATAAAAATATATTCTTATATTTTCATTGTGATTTGACCCCTTTTAAAAGGGTTAACTATTTGCCCACAGTTGGGATCTTAACAGGTGTTACCACCTTACCACCACGGGTTAGTGTGGCCGTGGAACAACATCAATTAAAAGGTGTTTTCACGCTCCTCAAATCCTCTCGATCAGAGGCCTTGCTGTTGGATGTAGCTTAGCGTCATAACTAGGACGCAAAAATGCCTTTTCAAGAATATATAATATATTTATGATGATATGAAACTTAGTTAAGAGATACACTATATGTCATAGATCATTGATTCATAGATAATCCTGACTTTGCACAACATCCTGTCTTACTCTAAGTAATATTTGACCACTTATCAGTCCTTGTCCTTGTTCTGTCCTCCATCTTGATCAGTGGTTCTCAAAAATTTCAGCCTATGGACAATTTTTTTTCGTTCCAAAAATTAAAATTGACCACTCCTACTTTTACTTTTACGCTGTTCAATTTTCACACTAAAATATTCAATGAAAAAAGAAAGTGGTCTATTTACACTTTAAAATTCATTTTATTAAACAAGGATATCAAAATCAGTTTTGATTATGTCATTCAGTCTTAGTCCATTCAGTCTTAGTCCATTCAGTCTTAGTCCATTCAGCTAGTGACTACCCAGATCTTGGTGTGTAGTGATCTATTAACATAGGAATAATTTTTTATATTATATATAGTAAATTTTTTTTTTCTTTCTTTCTTTCTTTCTCTCTCTCTCTCTCTCTATATATATATATATATATATATTGAGTAATCGGATAGCCGAGTACGAATTCCAGTCGAATCCATTACATTCGCTTACGTGCTAATACCCTTGGGAAAGATATAATCATCTCCCTCCGGCTATGGGTAAATATCAGGACAGACTGGATTCTATAGAGGGCAACTGGTCTAGAAGTATAACTCTGAATTCAAAAACTGCGGAGGGTTGTTTGGGGACCTTGTGGAAATTAGTGCACCAGGTCTCTGTATTCGGCCCTTGAAAAAGTGTGGTTGGTTCTGCACAAAGCTTTCACCACTATAATCAAATCATATGTGCTGGTATATGGGCTGTCGGTTCCTAGGGACTAAGCTGCTTGACACTCATACGTCGAGGAGAGTCCACCATGTATATATATATATATATATATATATATATATATATATGTATGATAAAAATAAAATAAATATAGTACTGCGTAATCCCTACGTAATTTCGAAATTTTCAAATATGTTTTGTTTCCACGTGTGTAATTAAACAAAATATTATATTTTTTAATTCTTCAAAGTATGAATAATTTAGATACATTTTTGTGAATTGGATACAATTTTTTATGGCTACGAATTCTCTGTTGACCACTAGAAATGCTATGTGGATAATTGGGCGACATTTAAGCTAACTTCTGTAGAGGGCTCTTGATTGGGCCTTCATCGCAATAGGTGGGGAGGAATAGATGTGATAGGGAATAATAACCTACAGACACACAAATATATGTATTGTTGTATCCGAAAAATGCTATTAGAAATGAGTTATTGTTTTTGGAGCGTGCAGTAGCAACGCTAAGTTTGATTTTAAATTTTACAGTTTTATATTTTCGTTGTCCTCTTATTACTGAGAGAAAAAACAAGAACAACATCTATTCCATACCTGAAGATGTCTGTAGGAACAGACGAAAGCTTGTAGTAAAAATAAGAACTAATGCAACAGAAATTTATAAAAAACAAGGATCTTTTCATTCATAACAGGTTCGGGGGTTTTGTATATTATTTGAATTGTTTGCGACGATGGATTTCTCGACAATTAAATCATTAACCTTTTGTATTTGTTTTTGTATGAATAATTCATGAATATATATATATATATATATATATATATATATATATATATATATATATATATATATATTTATTTAGTTGATAGATGTGAGTTTGGACCCTGGGTTTCACGCTTTAGCTGACGATCGCTAAAGCGTGAAACCCAGGTCACAAACTCACATCTATCCAACCAAATATGTTAGCTCTATCTCTGATATTGAGCGCTTTCTAATAAGTACTGCGCATATAATATATAAATAATTATATATATATATATATTTATTTGTATTTATATACACACACTTTTCACACACACACACACACACACGCACACACACACACACACATATATATATATATATGAAATATTCAAGTGTTGAATTTAAAAATCAACTAAGAAATAAAGACGCTGGTATTAAGTTTTCTTCCCATTTTGATTGATAATGTCTTTTATAAATGACACAATTTCTTTCTTTCTTTTTTCCTACTATCATTTCATTTGAGTTTAATTTAATCTCCTTTTAATTTCTCCTTTTTATTTTTACAGATGGAGTCATTCATCATGGTATTTGTTCGACGTGGTTACAAACCTGCCCTGTAGGTGAGCAGGTACCGTGTGTCATGAGAGCGTAAGTATATCCGAATTATTGCATTATTTAAATGGAATGCACATAAAACGGAGATGAACAAGCGAGAAAAGAAAAACATATAATGTTATTTTTTTAATAACATGTTAGCTTTTATTTCGAATTCGTTCATAAACTGGTTCATTGCGAAAGAAAAAGACGTCTTAACTAATCGAATTATAGTAATTTACCAATTTACTTTGGTGGGGGATGATTTATTCTAGATGAACTAGAATAAATCGCCCCAAACAAATTAGTGAGGACCAAACCCAGTAGAAATCAAGTTGCGACTTTATAATGATTGCTATATATCTTTAATTACTTGCTTAGTAAGAATCTAAATCCTTAGCACTATTCTGGGAATTGGAACGGATCCAGATATTTGCAATAATAATAATAATAATAATAATAATAATAATAATAAAAATACTTAAAAAAAGAAAGCAAAGACAAATGCAACCGACCAGATACAGAAGCGATGGCAAGATAAACCGCTTCATGGCCAATACTCTGCCCGTACTAACCAAGCTGACGTAGACAAAACCCGTACCCATCAGTGGCTACGTAGTGCAGGGTTGAAAGCTGAAACTGAAGGTTTCATCCTTGCTGCACAGGACCAATGCTTGCTAACTGGGAATTATCAAGCACATATACTAAAATATTGTGTAAGCCCAAAATGCAGATTCTGTGATAAATATCCAGAAACGGTTGATAATCTTGTATCAGGTTGCACGATATTGGCACCCACTGAATATAAAACCCGGCATGACAGAGTGGGCCAATATCTGCACTGGAAAATCTGCAACTTCTACGGGAAGGAAACTGAAAGAAACTGGTATGAACACCACCCAGACCCGGTTACGGAGATAGGACCTGTTACAATTCTATGGGACTACACAATACACACTGACAGAACAATCAAGGCCAACCGGCCAGATATTGTTATTAAAGACCACAAACAAAAACGGTGCCTCCTTATTGATATGGCAGTCCCTGCTGACTGCAATGTATCTTTGACGATATTCAAAAAGCTCTCAAAATACAAGGACCTAGAAATAGAAATCTCAAAAATGTGGCATATGGGAACATCAACAATCGCTGCTGTAATTGGAGCCCTAGGATTGGTTGGAAAAGATTGCAGTAGACTAATTGAAGGGATTCCTGGAAGTCCATGCCTCAAGGAGATAAAAAAATTGTTCTGACAAGTACAGCCCACACCTTACGAAGGGCTTTATCTATGTATTCTTTTTTTTTTTTTGTCAGTTGAAAGTGTCATGATGCCATTTCTAACCTTAGGTCCCTGGGCAGAACCCGGAAAGAAATGTGTAAACGCCAGAAATCAAAGAAAATAATAATAATAATAATAATAATAATAATAATAATAATAATAATAATAATAATAATCTCTGCAAACTGCAATGTATCTTTGAAGATCTTCAGAAAGCTCTCAAAATACAAGGACCTTGAAATCGGAATCTCGTAAATGTGGCCCATAAGGACATGAACAATTCCAGTTTGTAGCTGGAACCTTCAGATTGATTGGAAAATATCCCAGAAGACACATTGAAGGGATTCCTGGTAGCCCATGGTCCTAAAGAAATACAAAAAAATTGTTCTCACAAGTACAACCAACTCATTACAAAGAGCTTTATCTATGTAAAATATGTGCGATTTTTTTTTCAAAACTGCTCAGTGGAAAATGTCATGATGCCATTTCTGACCTTAGGTCTCTGGTTGGGATCCGGAAAGAAATGAGTATTCACCAGATATCAAAGGAAATAAATAAATAATAATGATAATAATAAGAGGGAGGATCTGATACACTTACAAGAGTGGCATATGAAGACAGTGCGGAACCCATTTAATATGTTATTTTAAATGGATGGCCAAGCAGGAACTCAGAAGGATAGCAACGGTACAATCGTTACTTAGACCTACAGATAAAAAGAAACTATGGAGAATCATGGTCAACCACACCCTGACGGGACACAGCACATCAAAGGAGACTTTTAATAATAATAAAAATATTCAAATGTTTGCACAAATCAAAAGATAAGGGTCTTTGTTACGTTTATAACAATTATAAGGGCAACAAGGCAAAAGTGTACATGAAGTTTCTTGAAAAAAACGGAATAGCATTTTACTTTTTATATATTTTATAATTTGTACAAAATTATAGATATATTCCTTCACATTTAGACATATTCATCTTCATATAATATCGTTTTTTCCATGTAGTTATATGACATTTTCAATGTTGTTTGGGTTTCAGGGCACCTAATTTCCACATGCCTGAAGACGGTACACGGCCAATCATAATGGTTGGTCCGGGAAGTGGTATTGCTCCATTCCGGAGTTTTTGGCAACAAAGAAAGATTGACAAAGAAATGTTGGCTGTGCCAAGACGTAAGTTCCATGATCCTTGTAAGTGTTCGTCGTTTTGTCTTTTTTTGATTTTCTTGTGTTCTTTTGTTTAATCACACCAACCTACATTTTTCTAAATCTCTAAATATTTCTATTTTCGTCCAAAATATAAAATAAGGAAAAAATGGACAAAAATAATTAATTATATAAATAGGCCAGAACAAAAGACCGTAGATTTTTTTTTTAACTGAATTTCAAAGACAATATTTAGATATTTGTAGATAAATTCATTCAACCGTGAAACTATGGTTGAAACACCCACGTAGAAAAGAAAACTCTTATCTCGATCTCAACTATTTCTGTTTTATAAGCCAGCACGTAGGTTGTTTGAAGTCTACTAAGTGGTATCCACTTTGACTGAAGGGGAACGGAAGAATAAATGAGTGAATGGGGATTTTTTGACAAATGTCAACAAAATCGGACATGCAGCGTGTCCGGTTACTTGGATATATTAACGATTGTGCTTGGGATCGGGGGTCAATACTGGTTCGCCCTTGGCGGTGGACAGACTACCATTTTCGTAGTTCCAAGGCTGCCCGTTCGTATTTCTGTATATGCGGATGGTTGGTAGTAGAGTTGGACTGATATGTCAGACGTTGTTCCCTCTGTGTCTTCTGCCTACGCATCCAGACCGAGCAAGCGAACCCCTGAGAAAAATACCTATTTTATAATATGGGAAACAGGGATCGCTTTATTATTTCTCAAGACGGCATTTTTTTAATCTTCCTAGACTTTGTGAACATGCACCGGACCTTTCAGAGTTTTTTTTTTTTTGGGTGTAATCATGGCCTGAGTGAGGATCATGTTCTATGTTTACACAATCACCTATGTGTTATTTTTGTTCCAGTATCTTTCGCTATCTTCGAGGAAGTTTAATATTCCCATTATTGGGCGATGAACTGGTCAAAGAGTTTTCTACGGGCTCCAGAGAATTGAAGATTTTTTCGTTAAGAAAGTATTGTATAAATAACCCCAAGTCCCGTACTCATTGTAGTACGGTGGATGTAGTAGGTGGTCCCAACTAAACAGTACCTAGTCCTCCTGGATTTGCGAAGACATGTAAGGTCTGGTGTTGTCCTAATAGAAGACGATATCCTTCCGATTGATCAGTCTCGGGCGCTTTTCATCGTTTGCCACCTTTAATCCATCCAACTGGGAACATTAATTTTCTGAATTGAACCTTTGATTTTGCGGAAGGGACTCCTAATTCACAAGGCCCTTCCAATCCCACCAGATTCAAAACATCACCTTCTGATTAACGGTAGCTGATGTCATTTTGACAGGGAGAATTTTTGCTCCACATTGTTGTAAACAATCAAGTTTTCATCGCCTGTGATTGCTCTTTAAAAAATAGAAACATTAATTATTCCAGCAACTAAGAAAAGAAATGTCGTCATTTGCAGTTAATGGTTTAATGACGTATGGCGCTTGACAGGAAGAGTAACGTTAATCAACTTCCTTTGATCTTCTAAAAATGTTAGATTTACAGAAATAAATACGAAACAATGGCTACAGATAAAACTTTGTGTAAGATTTACTGGTTTAATAAAATTTTATTCAAAACCTTTCAACGATTAAGATCTATAAATTTCTTCATTTCAAACGCGAGTCCTGCTGAATTTTCCACAGACTAGGATATCGTTATTTCCCATATATTGTTGCATGGATTCATTTTTTCCATTTTATTTAGTTTCTTCCATTCCCGTCCTAATTTTCTGTCAGCACTTTTTAGAGCACGCATGCGCATATCATAATGCATGATTTAAAGGTGACGTTGCAAAAAGTGTCCTTCTCAGTTTCATCAATATTTTGTGTCTTTATTTGCATGTTTTCTTTTGTTGCCGTGTTAAGCTTAATGTTGATCAGTCTAACTATGGAGTATTTTATAGTTGTTCAATTCAAATGGGTTTTAAAAAGTAGTATTGTAAGACAGTAGATACGATAAAAAAGACACACACACAAACAAAAACATGCACACGCATATATACATGGTGTAACAAAAATACTTCATAAAATTTTGCGGTCAATTTCTCACACCCAAAAAGGTAAGAAAATCATATGAATATAAAGTTTTATACGGTCACTATATATATATATATATATATATATATATATATATATATATATATATATATATATATAAAAAGTTTTGTTACTTGATTGATGTTACCTTGAACATTCCGACTACAGAGTTTCGTAGACGGACACTTCGAGAATCGCTCTGTCCACTCGTCAGGAGTGATCAGCAATTGACTGAAGTCTGATGCTGAAGGTAACATCAATCAGCTGACAAATATTTTACTTATATTAATTCTGTATCTCTGATGTCAAGCACTTTATTGCAAAGGACTTTTGCATTGAATGCCTATTCTGTCAGTATCCAATGATTAACAGCATTTTTGGCTTTAAACTATCTTTGATATTGCTATATATATATATATATATATATATATATGGTGATTTTCTAGAGCACCTTAGATTTAGCCGAAAGTATGGGGCATCCGGTGAGGATCGTACTCACAATTCAGTCGTAATTGATTTTGGGGGACAAGCTTTCTAACCATTGCACCATGTCGAAGTGCCCTGAAGATTTCTAAGCCTAGCTTAGATGTGGCATAAGACAGAACGTATTGGCTACCCAGGGAGGACCGACCTCAGTTGAAATTGCTCTAGCGAGTTAAGCTTGCTGACCATTACACAACGCCGAAGTGTCCAAAGAAATACATATATATATACATATGTATTGGTACATATATATATATATATATATATATATATATATATATATATATGAATTCACGTTTGTGAGACTCGAGTTTCGTTGGTTGCCCAAATCGTATATCTCGTGCCCGATGTGTTGGGTAACCAACGAAACTCGAGTCGCACACAAAACGCAGGTATATGTGTATTTATTAATATATATTTCTTAACTCCATCTAATCAAATTTAGCACTATTATGTCTACACCTTTTGGTTAAATTTTGTAATTATTTATTTGCTTACCAGCGTATGCACGCAAGCACGCGTATATGGTCGCTAATATTTAGTTATCTCACCATATATATATATATATATATATATATATATATATATATATATATATATATATATATATATAATACCAATTGGTAATTACTAGGGATAATTTCAAGGGAGTACATTAATCCAAAGTGAGCTCCATGTAAGTTACAGAACAATATAATATTAAGTAAAGACACGCCTTAAAAATTCATTTGGTTATAATTAATTTCATAAATATATTTATTTAAATATTCATTTCTATTTAAATAAATATTTTCATGAAATAAATTATAACCGAAATAATTTTTTTTAAGTCTTGTCTTTGCTTGTTATCTGTGGCGTTAACTTTCAAGATAGGACATCTAACGTAGACCTGTTTAACAGGTGTAATATTGGAGGAATCAAGATTTTCAGCATAAAGTCTCAGTTACGGTGGACTGGTCATCTCTTGAAAATATTCTGACAGGATATCCAAGATTCTAATATATCGCCAGTTAGGTCATGGCTACAGGATTGTAGGACGCACATGGCTAAGATATAAAGACAAGGTGAAAAGCAACTTGTCAGCTGTCAATATACCATATAACACCCTTGAGCGCTTAGCCTTGGAGCAGGTAGACTGGAGATCAACGTGTTTTAGTGGGTTTAGCTGTTTTCAATCTGCTTGTCTGAATCATCTTCAAGGAGCGAGAGCAAAATCTAAAAGGTCAGCCAATCTAACAGTGATCTACTCTCACAATCCTCACTCTTGCTCCATATGTGGCCTCCTTTGCAAATCACTAGCGGGTCTTAAGTGCCACGTAAGATTATCGCACAAAATTAATTAAGCTCTCAGATCCTCATACGTTGAAACCGACAGGAGAGTCCATTATATATATATATATATATATATATATATATATATATATATATATATATATATAGCATATCTTCATTCAAACATGTTTTATTGAATAATATCGACATATTGTGTCTACTTATTTTTATACTGATTCTTTCCAGCTAATCAGTTTCTTGATGTTAAAATGAAATTGATTAAGGAAAACGCCGTAGTTTGTTTTTAAACTCAAATACTTTCGACCTCTTCTAAGATCGTCTTCAGTTATACATATATATTGTAACTCCGATAAAATCTGCATTCCGTTGCGGATATTTGAATTTGTCCTTCTTTATCCAAACAGTCATGTATTTTTAAAAATTTTTCTTTTTTTTTTTTTGCGCTCGCTTTTTTGCATTTTTCTATTTTGTTTTTAAGATGGTGAAAAGAAAGGCTGGGGTAGCATGACAATTTATTTTGGATGCCGTGATCGGAACATTGACAACATCTACGAAAGTGAACTCAAACAGTATCAAGAAGAAGATGTCCTTCAAGATGTTTACTTTGGTTTCTCTCGAGAACCTGGCAAGAAAAAGGTAACATTTCTTTTCTGCTATAAAAAAAAAAGAAAATGTTATAATTACTTTGAAAAAGTTATCAACTTAAACTCGTGTTTGGGTTTGTATATATATATATATATATATATATATATATATATATATATATATATATATATATAAAAGGTGTATTTTTAAAAGAAAATATGTTGTCCGACATTCTCGAGTGCAGGATAAACGTAATAAGTACTATTTAAAATGTATGTTTGTGTGTGTATATTGGTTTCGTTAAAGACGACTGAGAAGGTCTCTGGTTAAGGTTTTATTTAATGCTTCTAGTGTTCGTACAAGTGTTTTCTTTTCTAGACACAAAGAAAAAGCCCATACATTCAGTTATAAGTAAAAAAAATTACAAAGAAATATCGACCTTGACAACAGCTAAACGAATAACCGAAAGCGCTTGTATCTGCACAACGTTTGCGTAGTTTTTACTCACTTTATGTCGAGAAAAAAAAACACTTGTACGAAAACGAGAAAAAAATAAATAAAAAGCTTAATCGCAGTGCCTTCTGAGCCGTCTTTAACGAAACTGGTATTAAAGAGGAATTGCTGTACAAATAAAAATAATATATATATATGTAAATATATATATATATAAATATATATATATATATATATATATATATATATAACGTCATCCACAGACAGACTGTTTCGCTGTTTCACAGCTCATCAGTGTGGCTAGACATCCGGTTGCCTCTAGCTAGGAACGAAACCCGTGTAGTCTATTTATTGTTTCAACCTTTGGAAGTAAAGTCTGATGATCTGCAGTCCTTTAAAAGGGCTGTGGTGAAATAATTTATTACATGGAACCTTAAAGTGGTTTGTTTTTATTTAAATTGTTTGCTCTGGATTTACATTGAGCTCTCTGGATTTGATCCTCCTTGGGTTTACCCATACGGATTACCTAGTTTTTCATTAACTATATATATATATATATATATATATATATATATGTGTGTGTGTGTGTGTGTGTGTGTGTGTGAAATATGTATTTGATACAGTTTTAATTATATCAAATGTCAATATTTTATATCCTTAAAAACTAGTTGAGTCATATTTAGGAACTGAACATCTGTTTATCTCCTATTTTATCTCAATTTACCACAGGCTGTTCATATTTATCGATCAAATAGAAGTCGCCTTCTCTCTGTCCCAGTCTTTTCGTATCTATCTATCTATCTATCTATCTATCTATCTATCTATCTATCTATCTATCATTTTGTGTATATTCATCGACCTGAACTTGTGCATATTTATTTGATTGTATAACTATATTTATTTAGCCCGCTCATATCGCTGTATCTATCTGTCTGTCTGTCCATCTATTTAAATTTCCAAAAGTGATTGACGTTTTTCTTATTTTCTAGACCTACGTACAGCACCTGCTGAAGAAGAACTCCAAAGCCGTATGTGATGCCATTGTCCGAGAAGGTGGACACTTCTATGTCTGCGGTGATGTGCAAATGGCATCCGACGTGTCTGACACAGTCGAGATGATTCTTAAAGAAGATGCTCCGATGTCATCGGAAGAAGCCAAAAACTATGTGCTCAAATTACGGGTGTGTATCAACGTTTTTCTGTCTTTTGAATTCTGTAAATCATTTCAAGGATGACATCGTGAAATTATATCATCCTCATCCTCGTCCTCATCATCATAATCATCTTTTCTATGTGTAATTCCTAAAAAGAGCTAGTCCACTAAGTTTAGAGACGACAATCGCTGGTATCTGTAAATCAGACTAGTATCCGCAAATCTTCACCAAATCAGACATTATCAATTTAGGCTTTAAATACAACAACTCCGCCCACTGCAGATGGTAAGATCCCTCTCGCCAAATGGACCCCCCCATATGTATGCGTGCATACCCAGGTATAAAGTTGACGTATATCTGTATTTTGACTAAAGTATAATGCTCGTGGTAATCGTAATATTAGCTGTTTCCTGATAAGGAAACATTCGGCAATCATTGACCAACGGCCAGATCTACTGTCGATTGAAATCTGGAAATCTTAAAATTAGATGAATTACTTTCGGATCGATAGTCGTATTTTTGATACATTGCATATTTTTTCCCTTCCGTTTCATTGCTTAACTGATAAATACACTCTCCCAAAATTTGAATGCAATGTCAAACGCCATCTTCTCTCTTCTTGAACCCCGTTCATCTTTTATCCTTTCTTCAATCCTCATCATACCCAGTCTTCACACCACTTGCATTCCCGACTTGCTTAAAATGTTTATATATATATATATATATATATATATATATATATATATATATATATATATATATGCGTGTGTGTGTAAATCTTAGCAAAATCATAAATTATCAGCTCTGTTAGCGAGCCGGCTCAAATACGCCTACCGCCTGATTGATTGCTCGAATTCTCTTATAACCTATCAACCTATTGCAGGTTATTTAATGCCAGAAACTATTTTTAGAATGTAAGAATTTGGGTCTTGGGGGAAGATAATAACAATTTACTGAGATAAGTCCTACAAATTAATCCATATTTGGTAGATAAGAGTTGGATTCATGCCTTTCCAAATAGTATTTGCGCGTTGGTAAATATAACGAACTCCGACGGAATCGTTCCTCGCATCTCCGATTTTCAATTCCGAACCGTAATCCATTACACCGCCTGCACATCCAAATCTTACAGCACCTGGTATTTCGAAGCGGTCACCCATTTAGGTACTGACCATATTGCTTAACTACAGTAATCGTGCGATAACGTGTTTCAAGGTAATATGCACATCAGCCCTACACCGATTGCATTCCCTGAAAATGGGTAAGTATCCCACTCAGGGCGACCACATTCAAAGTAGATTAACTCCGCGCAAAATTTGGGCTTGGAATATAGTCTGGATGTATGCTTGAATTTTACACTCGTTTAAACTAACGTTTTAAAAGAAATCGTTAACGTTGGTTGGGTTTCTCGTCGTTTCTGCAAGTGCCCACCTGCCAGGTGACGTAGTCGGCGTATTATTGGTAACGGACGCCCATGAAGTAATAGTTAACATTAGCAACTTAATGACATTTACGTCGAGTGTGAGTTCGATTCGTTGAGTTTGCGCTGTCCAAAATAAAACCTTTTTTTTTCAATAGTAAATCTTTTATTTACATTATTCGAACTATATGGACACATGGCACAGTGGATAAAGGCATTGGTTAGATCCAGTGACAGGACCGAAAGAGTGTGAGTTCAATACCCGGTTAAGGCAGTGGAGAACTTTCAGAGATAAATTAACAGGAGATAACTGATAACTGACATCCATCAAAACATGGCAAGTGGAACTAGAACAGTCTACCCCAGTGAGCGAAATAAAGGATTCAGTTCGACGTTCCAACCACCTGAAGAAGGCAGGAGCGTACAACGGCCGAAACGTTGTGATAAATATGGTGACAAAGATGAGGACAATAGTCCGAATAATGTAAATAATGTACATAATACCTCATCCCAGAAATATAGACAGTAAATCTTTTAGTCGGTTACTATGGAAAAACATTCTACAGAAGGATACTGGGAATTCCATTGACGGAGTGAGTAAGCAATGAAGAGGAAAATGGCAACAGAAATAACACTTATTCTCAAAATCAGGAAAAAAAACCACTGAAATTTGTTGGATACATAATGAGGAAGGAGGGTTTGGAAAATTTAACGCTCACGGGGCATTTTGACGACAAGAGAGATAAGGGAAGACAGCGAAATCACTTACTTGACAAGCATGGGACGGCGGAACGGTTGGGCGGGAGCCTTAGCGAAGGGAGAAAAACTGCTAAAAGCCACTCGAGATAGAAAGTTGTGGAGACCTATGATCGCCTATGTCCTGATGGGACGTGGTACACAGAAGAAAACTATTGGTAAACGATACAGTTTGACAATTTGGAGCTAAATTTAAGCATTTCAGTATATATTCAAATCCAGACGCTCTCATATATATATATATATATATATATATATATATTAGCAGCATGGCCCGGGGTTGCCCGTTCTTGATTCAAAAATCGTACGACTCATACAGCAATCGCTATCACTTGACTTAAAATATTTTTGCCCTTCCTTGCCTTTAAAGGAGTGCCCTTTGCCGTGCTGGTTTTGCTACATGCCTTACTTCTTGCCTATCTCACACTGCGAATTTTTTCTAAGCTCTATACTAAACATTAAATCTGTTACGAAAAAAGAACTAAACAAAATGAACACAAAACGATCAGCTTTAAAAAAAAGGACTCGTAATTGGAAAAACCGAATGAAAAAAGAATGTTAACAACAAATACTTTTTCACACCCAACCCAGTTCTGTGGAATCAGAATCAACGTTGAGTTTAAGCAAGTGAATGAGCCAATTGGAGTAAAGTGTCATGCAGATTTAAATTTTTCCCACTTGTGACGAATGCAGCTATCGGTTTTTTTTTTTGCATGCTAGTTAACATTCGTGTCAGTCAGCTGTTGGCTTTCACGCTGGCCAGTAAAAAATGGCCGCAAACTACATGAAAACTGCTGTAGAAGCATGAAAAAAATCGATTATTTCCACTATCGATGAGATTGGAGAAATGCAAAGTCGGTCTTGGCCTTACCACTAACTTGGAGCATGTGCATGTAAATTTTGGTGCAAATCCGTCGAAAATTGCGGCCGTGCATTCGTTACACACACACATACACGCATCCTGGCTTATATATATATATATATATATATATATATAATTATCACAGCTCGAAAATCGATAATAATATGGAAGCATTTTGAACCAGCGGACGGTGAAGTACATTCCAATCGTTTTCCAATTACAATCCGCGATGATATCCATTAAATAATCAAAGCCGCATTTTCTCAAAAGTATACGGAACATACATATATTTATTTATGCCTTTGCTTTCTTTCCACTATTTTTTTTTTTTTATCTATCATGGTTGGTAACATTTTAAGCAAGACATGTGAAATAATGTGTATTGAACGTTATTACCTTCCAAAAGCCTGTGAGTGAAAATGATTCGTTGGAAAAAAATGATTTTAAAATGAATATTTTCAGATGATTTAGTAAGATCCGGGTCTCATAAAGTGCAATATATGATTATTTAGAGAAAGAAAAAATGGTTGCAATTGTTTTTCGCGGTTATAATAATGTGTTACTTCTTTTATATGACATGTCTCGTCAGGACAAGGGTGATCACAATTCTCCACAATTTCCTAGTGCTTTTAGCTCTAAGCTAATATTTGCCATCTTACTTTCCCACACTAAGGTATTGATATTCCATCCATAAACACAAGATCCTTAGGTAGGCTATTCGCAGTTTCCTTCCCGACTTTTTTTTTTTTATACTTTTTAAATCGGTATCATCTCAAACACGACAGTACAGCCATTAACATGCAAGGGGTTACAGGATGTGGAGGAATTCGGAACAGAAACTTTAGTAATGAGTAGAAAAAGAAACAAGTATTCAAGAAGAGAGTAGATAGCGATTGGCACTGGATTTAAATCTTGGCAGATTAAAGTTGGTTGGAAAACATGGGGCCGGAAGGGAGACCCACAAGCAAGTAGTGCGAAAGAAGAAACAGCCAGCATAGAACAAACAGCTACATCTAACTAGCTCAAATGTAAATAGACGAGATCTCGCCACCAGTCTAGTATTGCGCTTAAATTCATAGAGTCTAGGCATCATAATGAAGAGCTCATCCGAACAATTACCATGAAAGTATTTGTAAAAAAAAAAAAAAGGCACAGAGAGAGAACTTCTTGCTTTCAATATGTCCTGTGAATGTCCAAATCTCAAAGCCCATTTTCCTCATTATACATCCCAGAAATGTCAACTGTCTCCTTTTGATTGCTTTTTTTCTACTTTCTTTAAAACTTCCTTTTTGTTCATATGTTCCGTCCATGATATTCTTAGTATTCTTCTGTAGAACTACATCTATCAAGTTTCCTCTTATTTTCCATTCTACAACTTCTTTCCTCACAGACGCAAAGTTGCAAGCCTATCGTTACTCTCCATTGCAAATGTTCAGATGTGTTCCACACTTTAGTGACACCAGTTTAGACGTTTACAACTGAAATACGTTGGACAGAGATTCTTTAAAGTCACCAGGCAAGACATAGTCACTGATGACTGTTGAAATATAAAGGAGATAAAGCCATAGTAAAAATGACCTGCATTATATTCCACCTGAGTCAATAAGTTTGCCTATTACTAGTTTCACACTCCTTCCTCATCTTGTGAACAGGAGTAGAGGTTTATCCCTTGATTCCTGTTTAGGATAGAATCTAATGTTTCTCCTCCTAAAACCTTCTTTCACCCCTAGTAACATTTGTGTCTTAGAGGTATTATCGCCTAGGTTGAGGCGAAGCCGCGGATCCCGGTCCTTGTTTAGTCATTGCCAAACATCTACAAATGTGTAATCTAGTCCTGTCGGGTACGTTCCCGAGTAAGCACATGACAATTTGCACAAAAAAAAAAGAAGTAAGATGAGGACTATTCCGAATGAACTGGCTATTTGTTGTCCACTTACACAGGCTCCCAATATTGATATTTGGCCATTTACAGTTTTGCGTCGAAGTGGAATGTTGTGAAAATATTCAGTGATAGCTTGTTAAAGTAAGCATCAGCCAAGTCCC